TTTAGGGCCACATGGATTTCTAGGGTCCATGAACCCTGAACCCCAAACTGCTCTTAGGCCAGTGGGATGCAGACGCAGAAGAGGGGCTTATAACAAAGAAGCTGCTCCTGGGGTCTTTTCGGGAGTTCCAAAAAACCCTAAACCCTTCAGGGTTGGTTCGTGGTACTGGCAACGGCTCTAACCCTTACCCTCTAAGGACTCATATTTTAAGGCTTTTGGGCCCAAAGACCCTATTATATAAGGCTTTTCGGCTATTTTGATGCCAAGGGTAACATGCGTTCTCAATTCCTATTGACCCTAAGCCAGAATCTTACAAGAACACGCTGAACCCCGTCTACAACCCCTCTGAACTTGAAGGAACCTTTGAAGCAGAATCCTTAGAAGAGCCTTTAAAGGACTCAGTTTAGGGGATTATAATCCAGAGTCCTTAAAGGACTCGGTTTAGGGTGTAGGGTTTCGGGTACCGGAAGACTCAAAGCCCGAAACATGGCCGCTTCTTGCTGTCTTTTGTTCAACCTTCTCCTTGTTGTAGGCTGGGAAGTAGTTAGATAGCCAAGGATTCTGCTTCAAGTGAAGCGTTTGTGATGAAGGGCTCGAAACCCTGAACCCCAAACTCTAATCCCTAAACCCTAAACCCTGAAGATTTGTTTTGGATGGCAGTTTGGAGTTGAAGATTCCCTAAACCCTAAACCCTAAACCCTAAACCGTTTCTTGCCGTTGCACACGCCTCATGCGGAGGCTGTGGTCAGATGCACTGTCTCTTGGCTTGGAGAGAGGTGAGGAAGAACGCGGTTTAGGGTTTAGGGATTAGGGTTTAGGGTACCCCTTAATTACCCCAAAATGTTCCGAACATGTGTTGGGCTACGGGCTCTTAGCCTTAAAACCTAAACTAATCGTTACCTAGACCCCCCCCCCCCAATACCCTCTATTTACCCCCCCAATTCCCTCTAATTGAGGACGATAGGGGCTCTCTGAAAGGGTAGTTGGGGGGGTCCTGTAATAAGTTTTCACATAGGGCTTTGTCTCAAAATGGCCGGTCCGCAGAGGTTGTTTTGTCACAGCAAAGCCTCCCCAGGAAAGGTTGCCCAGTTGTTGAACCAAACCGAAACCGAACCCTAACACTGTCCGGTACTCTTACGAACAACTTACAACAGGCATCCTTGGTGCGGGCGATGCGAATTCGCCTGGCTGCCGCGATGTGGTACTGCAATGTGGATTGCGACGGTCTTCAGACCTTTCTCCGGTCAATGCCCAGTGTCTCTCTCCGGCTTATCACCTCCACGGTGCGTCGAGCATGGTGAGCAGCCGAGGTGCCGAAGACCTCGGAATACCTACCATTTTGTACGTGCGGATGTACCATGCTGCAGGCATTCCTGTCTTCATGTTGCATTTTTTTCTTTATGCAGGTCAAGAAAACAGACCACTCAGCCACAAGTACCACCTGGCACGCGCGCAATCCCTGGCATGACGATGAGAGACACCGTTCGGCGGTATGAAATAGCGGTTGGAAGAGAGTTGAACTTCGAGAATGAGCAGACAGGTGAGCAGCCTGCAGCTTCAGCTCCTGGGGAGCCATCACAGCCAAACAGCTCGCAGCCTGGTAGGTCCTTCCGGATTCATGGACAAGATCTACAGCTCACTTTCAATCATGGTCCTTGGAGAGCTCAAAACCAAGGTACTGAGGACTGGTTTTCATCCCAAGGTGTGCACCTCGTGGCCAGATTCCAGACTTGGGCTTTGGAAGAACTGCCTCAAAAATTCCGCGAGACAATCGTGCACATGTCTTTGACTCTGGAAGAATCTCTCCATGCCGCCGATGACTTAAAACGAGTCCATTTGCACGCTCAGATACCATTCAAGCAGAGAATCGATCGCACCTCCGTGGCGGACTTCGCCTTTGAGGGTGTTCGACATCATGTTGCCGCTCGATGAAAGCAGCAGCTTTGCTAGGACTAGGACGCACGGTTTAGTTTTGCGCAAAAAAATTCCGCTGCTGTTGGATCTTGCAGGAGCTGAACAAAGCGAGAGGTGGCCACGTGCAAGTTTCTCGAAATCGTGCTCNNCTCACTTTTATGTTTACTGCAGCAAGATTGGCACTCTCTGGTCCTTCACGAACTCCTGGCCCTTTGTGGACTACGAAGTACAGCCCTTTTGGCTGATGGGGTGGTGGGCCACGGGAAAGCTGAGCAACCAGCAGTACAAAAACTACTTGCTCAAGTGCAAGAAGTCTTACCACGGCCTCCTGCAAAACTTCGAAGCTGTTGTTCACTCCGAGAACGCCCTGCGGCTGGCGGAGTATCGTGAAACAGTGGCACGGATCCTGGCTTCTGTACGTTTACCCTTCCGATCCTATGATGATCCGTACCGTGGATCGACAAATAGAGAGTGATTTCTGTCTTCTGAGGCGACTGTCTTTGTGTGTGTTTGTCTGTGACGAAACCCGCCAGCTTAAGGTTGTTTCCTTGCCTTCCGCACTTCTTGGAGCAACACATGGGTGACTACGGGGGAGGTTGGAGAGAGAGCTACGCCAACCGGATGAAGACAAAACCCTAGACCCTAAACCCTAAGCCCCTAAACCCCCTAAACCCCCTAAACCCTAAAACCCCTAAACCCTAAAACCCCTAAACCCTAAACCCCTAAACCCCTGAACCCTAAACCCAGAACAACTCAAGG